AGGAATGAGAAAAATCATTGCTATCTCCAGTTTAATATTATGACCCTTCGATAATGCACTGGTTGTCTTTTTAACTCCCCTCGTCCTAGGACCGCATGTAGCGATGTGAACTCACGTGTGTTGAGTGCCCCACAGTCATTTGAACAATTAGGAAGCATTTCCATGTATTGGGAATCTCCTGTATCTCAGATGCCCCAGGCAAGAATTTCCCACAACCCTTCCCTCAGACAGTCCAGGTTGGGTCTAGGCTCTTTGTGGTGTTTTATTTCTTTAACCTCACTGTTTCAAGTAGCTTTCTGAGTAACAATCAGCAAAGGGCTATACTGTATGTGCACCCTTTGGTCAAATAACTGCCCTGTTCATGTTTGCTGGGCACCATTCACAGCACACCTGTAAAAGTGTCTTTAGAATAAGCGTAGAGTATTTTTGAAACGCTGAGTGAAGACCAGGATCACAGCTGCTGTGTCCTGTGGCGTCTTACACTTCACGCGCATCCTTCCTCTTTTACAAGTTCTGTCTGCGGTACCGGTCCCGTTGGCCCGCCACACTGATGGCCCGTGTCCCTCTCCTCTCCCAGCTCTGCGGGTGCCCCGATCCTGCCGGGCGATGGCGCGTGTGCTGAGCCCACGGCTCCGGGTGCCCGGGGGCCCGCTCCGGCCAGCGGGGAGGTGGGACAGAGGCCCTGGAGCTGGCCGCGCCCCCAGCCGAGGGTGCTCGGCCCAGACCCGCTTCAATCCCCTCAACATCCAGATGTTGTCCAGGAACCTGCAGGAGCAGATCTTCCGGGGGGTGCCGGAGTGTTACCAGGAGGAGGACGTGGGGCGCAGCATCAGGCACCTTCAGAAGCACAAGCTCTGGGGCCTGGACTCCCCCCCGCTGCCCGACGTGGAGCTGCGGCTGCCCCCCATGTACGGCGGCAACATCGACGAGCACTTCCGCATCCTTGCCAAGAAGCAGAGCCTGCCCTACCTGGAGGCGGCCAGCTCTCTGCACTGGGCCGCGCTGCCCCCGCTGCCCGCGCGCTGGGCCTGGCAGGAGGGCTGGACGCGCTACGGCCCGGGCGGCGAGAGTGCCGGCCTGGATTTCCCGGAGGAGGCGGCGCTGGTGTTCGATGTGGAGGTGTGCATGGCGGAAGGACACTGTCCCACGCTGGCGGTCGCTGTGTCCCCCACTGCATGGTGAGAAGAACTATCTGGAGACATTTGTGACTCGTAACCTGTTTGCCCAAAACAGCTTTGGAGACGAAACGAATGCTATTTTTTGCTTTCTTTTTTTCCGAATCTTTCTAAAAAAAAAATATATATATATACTCCCGTGCCTCAGGGAGTGTCTGTCTCTCTTCCTGTTTCTTTTTTCTGTTTCTTATCTTGGTCAAATATTCGGCTAGTGTGTATTGTCTGTTTGGGGTTCTGTAGCATTCTAGTTTATGTTGTGTTTGTGTGTGTGTATTTCCCAGTGTGTGAGATATTCCTCATGTGATGTGGTTGAGTCTGGGTTGTGGTGCTCTAGCAGTGCTGTCCGGAGGCTGGCTGGTGTCGGTGTGGCTTGGGTCAGTGAGCCTCAGGACCAGCTGGCTCAGGGGGCTCTGTTTTGGGCTCAGCTCTTGGCTCAGCAGGGCTTCGTGGTGGTAGGAATTTTGGTAGCTGTTTTTTAGGTGTAGCCAATACTTTATTACTCTTTTCTGTTTATCAATAGTGGGTACTGGCCTAGTTTGGCCCTGCACCATTGTTAGGTGTTTTTCTCTGCACACGGAGGATGTTTCTACAGATCTCCATGTACAGAGTTTCTGTCGGGTGTTTGTCCCATTGAGTGTAATCCTGGTCTGTAAGGGGACCCCACACTTCACTGCCGTATAGGGCAATGGGTTGGATTACACTTTCAAATATTTGGAGCCAGATTCTTGTTGGTGGGTTGATGTTGAAGAGCCTCCTTCTTATTGCGTAGAATGCCCTGAGTGCCTTCTCCCTCAGTGCCTTCACTGCCAGGTCAAAACTCCCGGATGAGCTGATGGTGAGACCGAGATATGTGTAGCTGGATGAGTGCTCCAATGTGTAATTGTTGAGTATGAATTTATACCTGTTTCCCTGAGGTCTGGCTTTCTTCTGGAAAACCATCATTCTGGTCTTGTCCAGATTGACTATCAGTGCGCAGGTCTGACAATACTGCTCCAGCAGTGCGCAGGTCTGACAATACTGCTCTAGCAGTGCCAGGTTCTGCTGCAGCCCCTGTTCCTGTTAGAGCAGGAACTTGATTTCTGTGTCGTGTAGTGTGAGACCAGGAGCTGAAGACTGCTCCAACATTTCTGCTACTTCGTTGATATAGATATTGATAAGTGTTGGGCTCAGGCTGCAGCCCTGTCTCACCCCACGGCCTTGCGTGAAGAACTTGGTCCTTTTGTTTCCAATTTTCACTGCACATTTGCTCTCTGAATACATTGATTTAATTATGGCGTACGCTTTGCCCCCATGCCACTTTGGAGTAGTTTATAAAACTATCTTTCATGCCAAATCAAGTCAAATGCTTTTTTGAAATCGACAAAGCAGGCAAAAACGTCTCCTTTGTGTTTTTGATGGACATGTTTGTCCATCAGTGTGTGTAGGGATCCAGATTTGGTGATCAGATTTCAGGGATCAGCTGTCTCTCTCTCGCAGGTATTCCTGGTGCAGTAAGAGGCTGATTGAGGAGCGGTACACCTGGTCCAGCCAGCTGACCCTGGCCGACCTCATCCCCCTGGAAACTGCTGCCAACTCCAGCCGCCCCCCCGCAGGGCAACAGTGGAGGGAGAGGCTGGTGGTGGGGCACAACGTCAGCTTCGACCGGGCGCACATCAAGGAGCAGTACCTGATCAAGGTGCAGGGAGTCGGGCCACTTCTTCCTGTGATTTCAGACATTTAAATTACTACATTTAAACTTCCCTGTGTACCTCATTGTTTATACTTCAAAATAAACGCTAATGAAATTCAAGGCTCATTGTTTTGGAAACAAATTTTGTCAAGCGCATATCCAAAAAACTTCCGTTTTCTTTAGTTCCGTTTCTCTCAGGGACATTCTTATTAGTGTCTGAGGTGCTGTGGCTGGGTCTCCACCGATGAGCTGAGCTTGTTTTTTCTCCCGGCCTGCTCTGTGGGCGCGCAGGGCTCCAGGATGCGCTTCCTGGACACGATGAGCATGCACATGGCGATCTCCGGCCTGACGGGCTTCCAGCGCACCCTGTGGATGGCCAGCAGGCACGGCAAGCGGCAGGGCCTGCAGGAGGTCAAGCAGCACATGAAGAGGGCAGGCAGGCGCAGGGAGGGCCCAGCGGTCAGTCTGCGTGGTCGTAGCTTGGCACTCGGCCCCCAGTCCATTGCAAAAGTGTGATTTCCACTGTCTTGGTATGAAGTGTTGAAGTATGAAGTGCAGTGATACTAGAGGTGGATGCGTTTGTCAATGTAACATTTTTAATATCTTAGAATGCTCTCTATTGTTGAGCATTGCTCTCTTGAATGTTAAATATCATTGCTAATGTATCAATTCTCTCATGTGATTTTAAAATGCTGGGTTCATTTTGACTTTTGAAGTGGCTTCATTGAAATATTGAGGCTTGTCCTTTCCAACTCAGCTGGTTGTCCATGCATATATCTTATTAACGCGACTCTGTGTTGTGTATGAATATGTGCGTAACTAACAGTATCAATTCCATTTTCCCAACCTCAGATCTGTTCCAGGGCTTCCAAGATGTGTGTGAATTAACAAGATCTCTCATCAAGTCTGCTAAAAAGCAGCTCCCTCGGTTTCCTCTGCCTAGTTCTGCAGCACGCAGGCATGTAGCAGAGCTCAGGGCTTGTGAGAGGTGACTGTGTGTGGGCTGATCGGTCTCCTGTGTGTGTGCTTGACTTGAAGATCGGCGGGTGGGACTGGGTGGACATCAGCAGCATCAATAACCTGGCGGATGTCCACGCTCTGTACGTGGGCGGTGACCCCCTGGAGAAGGAGGCCCGTGAGCTCTTCATCAAGGGCAGCATGAGGGACGTCCGGGACAACTTCCAGGTCAGGAAATGCCGGACAGCAGTGCCGTGCCGTCCCCAGAGCACGGACGCAGCTCGTCCTCTGAGCCCCCGCCTTGCACTTGACCAACACTGCTGCTGCTTGTCGGGTGACCGGTGTAAGGCCCTGTGCTCATTGCTAATTTAAATTAATATTATTTATTATGTGTAGTGTCATTAATCCAGTTCGGAGCCCAGAGCCCCAACCACTAGCTCACACTGCCAGCTGTAACTTCAGTGGACCATGTCTGCTGCGAGCTATGAGTTATAAACGCTTTTTCAGCTGTGTTCTAAATGCTGTTTCAGAGAAAAGAATGCACCCTAAATGCATCCTTCACCAGCCACTCCCATCCTGAGACTGTGCTTATGAGAACTGTTGAAAATAGACTACAGAGTGGTAATGCTGGCGTCAGTACTATGCTGCTGTCTCCCTCTGCACAGCCATGGGGAGAACCTGGGAGACAGATTTCTTATTTGACCCTACTTCCACTCTTCTCCTTCAACTTTCCTTATCAGAATTGTTCCTTTATTTAAGACTCACCTGGAGTCCCTGTCATGATTGCTTCGGCTGCTAACATTTATACAGCTAATCTCTGTGTCCAGCTGAGCTGTTCTTATATCTGGGAAATGTTCTGGTCTGTTGAAGGTGAGCTGTGCTTTTCAATTAACATGCCTCACTGCCACTGTGTTTATATGGGTTAACCTTTCACTGTGCTTTGCTGAGGTACCGAATGATACTGCTGCTGCTGCTTATCTAAACCTTCGTCAGGTAGTGCAAGTCAGCCCTTGTGTGCTGTGCTGTAAGAAATCCAAGTATTCTGGTGTAGTAAAGTACGATGAAGGCATGATAAATCAGTGATAGGAGTTGGAAATGGAAACCGCAGTGAGCGGAGGAACGGATCTGTCTGTGTCCGGCAGGAGCTGATGCAGTACTGCGCTCAGGACGTCCAGGCCACGCACCGGGTGTTCAGGGAGCAGCTGCCCCTGTTCATGGAGAGGTGAGAGACCCTGCCGCCTGACCAGCCCCTCCCCACCTCTGTCTGCAGCTGTGCTCCCCTGATCCTGTCTTCCCAAGCTGCAGATGCGCTCGGCAGATGGGCAGGAAATTTGGCTGTGAAGTAAAAAGCTTTTCAAGTGACCCTGTTACAGTTCTCCGCTTGCGCCGTCACCAGACAGCGTAGCGGCAAAGAGCTGCATTGTGACTGTTGCCTCTCCTGGGGGCAGGTGCCCTCACCCTGTGACGTTTGCAGGGATGCTGGAGATGGGTGTGTGCTACCTGCCCGTCAATCAGAGCTGGGGCCGCTACCTTGAGGAGTCGCAGAGCACTTTCGAGGAGCTGCAGAGGGAAATGAAGAAGTCGCTGATGAACCTGGCCAACGACGCCTGCCAGCTGCTGGAGGGAGAGAGGTGAGTCCCCTCACACACACCATACGGAACACAGCCAGGCTCAGCTGCTCTGGGCATCTCTGCATTGTAACCCGAACAGCATTGCTGTCAGTGTGTTTGTCTGTGATCTCGATGTAGTTTAGCAGTCGCTCGTAACTACAATATTGTGGTGAACCATCATGAAGGAGCAGGGAAGGACACTTGAAAGGAAGGCAGACGTGTAAAATGCAGAGGGGAGGGGGGATAAAAGTGTGTTTTTATAACCTCAGGCTACAGTCTGTAGACTTTCCATGAGAAGCAGTGTGTCGGTAAGCTGTCGTTCAGTAAGGGCTCTGTGGTGTGGAGCAGGGTGTGTGCAGTCTGGCTGTGCTGGCGCTCAGAGCGTAGAGCCCACCTGCGTCTCGGTGCCTCGCAGGTACAAGCAGGACCCCTGGCTCTGGGACCTGGAGTGGGACGTCCAGGAGTTCAAGCAGAAGAAGGCGGCTGCCAGGAAGAAGAAGTGCACTCCGGCGGACGCGGATGTGACCGCCGTGCCGGCCAGCCCCCCAGGAGACTGCGAGGAAGGTGGGAGCCGGCCTGTTCAGTCCCAGGAGACTGGTGGGCCCTGGGTGTGGAATTAGGATGATGGGATGTTTTAAGGGTTTTAATTGCAGCTGGTGTCGGCAAAGCTATTCTAATGCAAACGACGTTTTAATTAGGGTCTCATCATGTCCCTGCGCTCTGCCTCAGAACGGTGGCGTCCGTGCTCCTGCATTTGGACTCTGTACCATTTCAGATCAGCTCCGACAGCCTCACAGCCTCTTCTCATCCTCTCACTACTGCTGCTGTCGAGCAGTGTGTTACAGGATGAGTAATGAACATTACTGCACCGCGTACTGACCAGAAACGCCTCAGGTGCCTCTGACTTGGTATTTGTGAGAACACTGCTTAATTACCCTGCTTGCGTTAGGAAGATACTCTCAATGCTGATATTTAGTGCTAGTCAAAAAGTCAGATTAAGAGAAAATAACTAGCTAGAAGCCACTGAATTTATATCATGCATGTATAAAAGAGCTCCCCACATAGGCCATTCCTGACTGCTGTTCTACAAGCATTGTTTAAACGGCTGTTTTTATTTTGCTGAGAATTGTGCTGGGAATGTCTAGAGCTGATACTTCTATGACCGGCTATCCAGCAAAGCCCCATTGCAACTGGAAAATTAACAGAGCATTTATTATTGTAAAACTAAATAGACGGAGACAGGGATTAAGACTGAGATTGATGAACAAAGAGAAATAAAGTCCAAACAAGTAGATTAAAGCTGCTCCTCTCTACAAAGTCTGATAAATCCATTAGTTTTAGTCTTCCCACAGGACATTGTGATGACAAATCTTAAACCACACAGGCCTATATATCAAAGCAAAATCACAGCTATAAAATATGAGTAATTCAAAAGTTAGCAGTGCACAAATTAATATGCATCTCAAGTAAGTAAAAATAGTTGACTGGATATCATGTAGCAGATGTTTATGTAGCTTCAGTATTAATCAAGTGGAATACAAGATTAAGTCATTTTCTATCTCTACTCAGTGAAATCATTTGCTTTAAATCATTGAAATTTCAAAATGGTGCTGTACTTCAAAGAAAAAGTATTGGCTTTAGTTTTACCGCTGTGTCTCATATTCCCAGTGAGTGCCTCAAGTGGACTCGCAAGCTGCCACATGATGAATGAGCTCTTAACAGACATTGACAGGCACGGTCTTATCAGGAAGCTCTCAAAGCGCAGGTTACTGTTCCCGTGTGCAGTGAGAGGAGTTGTTGTTGTTGTTCACGTTGACTCCTGTGCCCAGGTGCAAGCGGGGGGCCTGTGGATGATCACCAGTGGCTGTTCTTTCAGATCCAGGCCCCCCGACGGAGGAGGAGGAGGCAGCGCCCTCTGCTGGCCGCGTTGCATTGGAGCGGCTGAAGGAGACGGTGAGCCTCCTGCCCAAGAGGAGGCAGCACCTGCCCGGGCACCCAGAGTGAGTGCTGTTCGCACCGGCTCCTCTTGGCAGTGTGTCCCGGTTAAAAACACGTTTTGAAAGCTTGAACGTGTCCGTTCTGCGGCACGTGTATGCCCCAGCGTCTTGCGCATCAGTCTGACATCAAACTGTTGAATTTAGGAATTAACTGAAAGGTTTTACATCTTTCTTTAAGAGTTAAACTGGTTTGTAGACTGGGCGAGCAGGGAGCAGGGATCGGGGAGCAGGGGCGCCGCACTGGCTGAATCTCACGGCAGACCTGCTGGCACATTCAGGGGAGGAGTGTGGCGCTGTGCTGCCTGCGGCCCCTCAGCGGCCTGCGGCGCTCTGTGTTGCTCTGCTCAGGTGGTACCGCAAGCTGTGCTTGAGGCTGTCGGACGCGGACTGGTCGCCGGGGCCCAGCCTGCTCAGCCTTCAGATGAGAATCACCCCGAAGCTGATGGGCCTGACTTGGGACGGCTTCCCACTGCACTATTCAGAGAAGCACGGCTGGGGCTACCTCGTCCCGGGACGGCAGGACAACCTGGAGCAGGTGGAGGACACAGACGGGGCTGTGTGCCCGTACGGG